CCTAATTCTTGACTTAAGGCAAAAGGGATCCTTTACCTTTTCCTAATTGGGCCTCCTTTCCTCAAAGGCCAAAATCCATATAAACCCCAAAAGGCATCCAAGCCCATTATAGCTCCTCTAAGGCCCAATATGGCCTAAGAACACCTAGCATTGCCTTAGGCCCAAAAGGTATTATTACAACAGGTGGGATTGAGGCCCAGCCTAAACAAGTCCAAGACCCAACATAGCCACGAGCCCAAAAATCATTCGAGCCCACAGACCGCGTATGTGCAGTGTACATGGCTTGTACTCCCAGCGTACGCTGGTGTTGACCCGGAGTCGGGATTATGACCAATTACGCACGACGTACACTAGAGTACATAAGGTGTACTGGTCTGCCAACCCAAAACCACTTCCATGTCTTAATTTATTAACAGCTAACATCTAAATCTTAGATCCAAGCTTGAAAGAATGCCTTATGCCATAAAGTTGCAAACTTTATGCTTTTGCATGCATAGATGGGGCTCAAACCATGAATTAAGTCCATTTACTCAATTGGATGGCTACTAACACTTGCATGGTTGTGGCTTAACGAAACCTCTCCAATAGTCCAAAAGGATAACTCATATGTTCTGAAATTGTAACACCCGATTGTGAAAGTGCTTCGTTGCTAGGGGCTGCAGCCCAATCATCAGTTTTCATAAGGTTTAGGGCCTTAGGAAAGGAAGGATTTGGCCCATTTCATATATTTGTGTTAGGTTATACGTGATCCAATGATTGTGTCTTCGGAGGCCAAGGGTATAATCGTAATTAACATCTTGGTCTTTTATGAATTTTGGTTTTAATCCGGGAAGGTTTTAAGTATTAGGAGTGTAGAGCTTCTCACCATGTTTCGTGGATATAAGGTTCGTCGGAAACGGACCTCGAATGAGGAAGTTATGGCACTTTGAAGTTATTGACAATCTTGGTCCCTAATGGAGATAAGTGGCAAGGCAGTCCCATGCATGGGAGGAATGCCCGCACATGTTTGGCTGGCTACGCCCAATGTAGAAGGTTGCATTACCTCAAGTGGTTTGTGAGTAAGCCATGCATACTAAGAGGTATGCGGGGAGTACTCCATTCAGACCAAAACCCTAAAATTTAGGGTTTAGCTCTATATAAGGAACATTATGCCCCAAAACCCAACCACCCTCTCACCCTTAGATAGTTTTCACGAAACCCTAATCCCTTGGTGGTGTGTTTTGAGCTTAGAAGATCATTTTGGAGTGCATCTTGGTGTTTTGAAGGAAGGTGGCCATTGCTGAAGCATCATTAAAGGAGAAAAGGCTTATAGATCCAGAACCTTATCAACATTTGGCATTCATATAAGGTATAAAGCTTTGAACTTGGTAGTTATTTCCTTAGATCTTTTATGCTGGGTTTTTGGACCTTTTTGGTCCCAAGGATGAAGCTTTATATTTCACATCTGATTCCTAGGCTTAGGGTTGCCACCCTTGGTGATATTTAAGTCCCTAAGTCAGAAAGTTTCCATCTTGAAGGTCTTTATGTGTTCATGCATGAGTTAAGGTGATTTTCATGGATGTAGATTGATATACTTTGAGTTTGGGTTCATTTGGGTCGTGTAAAGTCACCAAGTCAGTGACTTTATGGGCCAAGACATCTAGTAGAGCTCAGATATGTGGTTTGGACCAGTTGTTGGGAGCATTAAGTGCTTAATGGTATAAGAGGCTTAACAGAGCAATATGATAGGCGTACAAGCATGTACGTGTAGCGTACAAGCCAAAAAGCATGTACACGCAACGTACAGCCGAGTACGCCCCGCGTACTCAGGTAGTGGGCTAGGTTTTGTGTTAGGTCTTGGTTTGGGCGATTCTTGGACTTCTTAGCTTTGGTCCTTAGTGGGCCATCAGAAATTAGATATTGTAGGCTAAGAATATGTTTGGGATTTAGGTTAAGGCCCATTAGAAGGGGTTGGGCCCGATTTAGAAAATTGGGCCACCAGTGGGCTTTAGAAGGCTAACTAGTAATTGGGCCTTTGTGTGTGGTTTTGGGCCTTAGTTATGAATCTTGATGGGCTAGGGGTAAAATGGTCATTTTAACCCCAATTATGGATTATGGATCATGGTTTGGGACCTAATTGCTAATTGGGTGATATTTTGGTATTAATAGCTCGAGGAATTGTCAAGGTAGCAGCTAAGGATTTCGTGCAGTGAGCTTCAGCATTCGAGGTGAGTTTCCTCATGTTTGAATAGGTCGAAGGCACCAATGTCAGCCTGTATTTATGATTGTACGTTTTCTAGACTACGGTTCGATGTCGGGCGGTGCCCGATGAATGTTTGTATGCTTTTCAAATTTCGACGTGATGTTAGGAGGGGCTCGAGGAATGCTTATATGTATGTTTTCGGACTACGGTTTGATGCCAGGTGGTGCCCGAGGAATGATTATATGTATGTTTTCGGACTACGATTTAATGATGGCGGTACCCGAGGAATGCTTATATGTATGTTTCCGGACTACGATTCGATGTCGGGTGGTACCCAATGAGTGTATGCATGTTTAGTTATAATTGTTGTCTGTGTGATACTTGTATGTGTCTGGTTAGGGAAGTGAGTGTGGGAAGGGTCCCATATCTCACCACTAACTGAGTGTGGACGGGGTTCCATATCTCATTATTAGTAGGGTAGGGGCGGGGCAGGGCCCATGATAGGCTAGGCCTTAGGACTGGAACTACTAGTTCTGCGTATGTTTTCTGTATGTGTGTAACATCCCAAAAATGCATGCCAAAAAATTTCACTTTTAAATACGTCATTATAAAACCAACAGTGTAATAAAACATTTGTAATGTCATGTCATGTTAAAACCAAAGTAGAAATAATTAAACATGTTATCATAAAATAATATCAGAGTGTAATCCCAAAGATCTCATGTGCGGAAAACCATAGTGTGATGCACTGCGATCAAGCCGGCTCCTTTCCATTAGACACGAAGTACCTGAAACCAAAACTGAAAAAAATCGTAAGCATGAAGCTTAGTGAGTTCCCCCATCATACCACATACCATACAATCATATCACATACATACTACCAGGCATTTTTGGGGTGCCCGGACCTACCCGGTACGGCCATTCTGGGGTGCCGACCTACCCATGCGGCCATTCTGGGGTGCCGTCCTTCCCGTGTCAAGCCATTATGGGGCGCTGACCTACCCATGTCGAGCCATTCTGGGGTGCTGACTACCCTTCGGTCCTAATAACCGAACCTCGGGGACTATTCACCCCTTACTACTACTATCACATATAACATAACATAAACATATTATCAAACATATCTGGGGTGCCTGAGCTACCCTTCGGTCCTAACAACCAAACTCGGGGATTGATCCCCTCCTACTACCTTTATCGCATATAACATAACAAGCCAGCATGCAAACATATCATCACATACTGTCAGACGTACCTGGGGTGTCTGGCTACCCTTCGGTCCTAACAACCGAACTCTACTACTATCACATACAACATATCATGCTAGCATATAACATATCAAGTAGTAGCAAACCTAGATGATATCATAAAGACAATCATCTATCATACATCTCCTACTAGTGGGTCGGCATTATGGCCTTAGACCCACCGCTACTGGAAGGTAACTCACCTCATACCGCTGAAGTCCCGTAGACACAACCCCACACTGCTGAAGTCCCGCAGACTCAACCCCAGCTGCTGGATGATAGATTCCCGAACTGTCAACACCAAAATAACACCCAATTAATAATTGGGTCCCAACACATAACCATAAATACATACTTGGATAATTACTACATTACCCTAAGATTGGCTTTATTCAAGCCCAAGGCCCAAACCATAGGCCCAAAGCGAACTAGGAATCAAAGCCCAGCATATGGCCCAATTTTCCAAATTGGGCCCAGGCCTATATGTGGTCTTATGGACCAACATAATACAATCATTAAGGCCCAACTATGGTCTATGGCCCAATTTTCCAAATAGGGCCCAATCCTTTACATGGGACTTACCCTAGGCCCATTAAATTATTTTAGCCCATATAATTATTCTTGGATGGCCCATTAATAATCCAATCATTAAGGCCCAATAGAAAGGCCCAACAATAAACCAAAGTGAAGTTAGGGTTTCACATAAAACGCCGATTAGGGTTAAGTTTCCTACTTAACCCATTAAGGAATTATTCCTCTAAGGACTTAATCCATTAAGTCCATCATTCTTCTAAATAAGTCATATGGTGTGATTGGGCTTAATCATACAATTCCATTCCAATGGCCCAAATGTGGGTCTCGATAAGTCCAAGCCCATAATCCCAAATTAGAGTTTTCACATGAAATGATGATTAAGGTTCAGTGTTTCTTTCTTAACCCATTAAGGACTTAATCCATTAAGTCCATTATGCCCTACGCTAGTTTGCCAATGATTATTAATTATTATTTAAGATTTAATAATTAATTCTCGTGTGTGTCCCAAGCAATTTCCACAAATTAGGGTTTTATTGGCATTATGGTGTTCCAATCCAAATATTGGCCCATTTATCAATTTGTTGGCCTTTTATGACAATTAGGGCTTTATTGGGCCTAATAAGCCCACTAAAATCTTATTAAGCCCATATGGGTTTAATTGGATCCATTAAAGTCCATTAAGCTTCATTGGGCCCATTAGAGCTCCTTTGAGCCTATTAGGGTTTCTAGCATCCTCAATCGAGTCAACTCACACGACAAACACACCGCCACCCGACACGGCGGCCGGTGGCGGTAGGAGGCGGCAACCACCACCTCACGGTGGTGGTTTTCAATTTCTTTTATTATTCCAAGATGTGATTTACAATATCAATGCTAAATATCAAAATAACACACTAAACAAATACACACACACACGCAACCACCTTGTGGTTGCCGGTGGCGGCAGATGGTGGCAGCCACTACCCTATGGTGGTGGTAATGCCTTTTCCGAGGACTCCGTCCATACACCCACGCACACATCGACTGAAACATGCACTTATTCATTCCTTTACTCGGAGAGGGAAGCCAACCACCCTATTTGTGGCATAAGGCGACGGTAGCAAGGTGATAGCCGTCATGGCGGCTGCCATGGTGGTTCCCACGCTTTTCTGGCCAACAGCAAGCAGGCATACAAGGAAACACACCCCAACTCGACAGGTGATAACCCACACAAACTTGACAGCCCTTTGGGGTGGCGACCACGACCGGAGCAACAGAAGCACGCCCTTGGCGGCAGATGGAGCGAAAGGGAAAAAGAAAAGAACGGCGGCAGCAAGACTATTTTCGAAACGGGCAGCGGTTACAGGCCATCTCCGGCCATACACGACGTAATTGACGGCATCAGGAAGCGGAATGGTGGCCTTCGTCGACGAAGCAGTAGGCTAAGACGAGAACTATCGAGCTTGGTGATGCCCTTGGCTGTTGAGAGGCTTCTATGGTGACGGAGGCGATCGGAATCGGTGGAGATGGGTGGTGCGACGCCGATGAGGGTGAAGGAGAGTGTAGAGGAAGTTGGCGGCTGTACAAATGAGGCTAGGGTTAGGGTTACCGGGGGTAATAGGTTTATATACCTCGATCCCCATAACTTCTTTTCATAATTCCAAGTTTAGCCCCTCCATCCAGAAATCATTACAATGTAAATCCCATATTTACCTTTTAAACCCTGCCCTTCAATTCTCTTTCAAAAGAAATCCAAAACTTACATTTTAGCCCTCCCTTCCATGATTCCTTACGAAATAACACCCCTAATCCTCTAAAATCCTTTCAAAGGAAGTCCCAAAAGTTAATATTTAGTCCCCACCCTCATTAATACTTACGAATCGGGTCTGGAACTTACTCTTTTAACCCTCGACTTCTAAAATGGTGACGATTAGCTCTTTGAGACCATCCTTTTATACATAATTGTTTATTTTAGGGCTACGAGTCCTTCATTTATTTATTTATTTATTTAATAAATAAACGGGTGTTACAATGTGCTAGCATGATTATGTGATTTTGATTATATATGTATAGCGGGAGAGGCCTAGTGACAGGTGGGGCCTATAATAAACAGATCTGTATACTAAGCGGGGCTCGATGCCAGGTGGGGCCTGATGTTGGGCAGGGCCCGATCAATGTATGGTATGTGGTAGTATAGGAAACTCACTAAGCTTCGTGCTTATGGTTTTCATTTTTGGTTTCAGGTACTTCTAGTTGCAAAGAGAAGAGCTCGGGATGGCTGCATTGCACACACCATGATGTTTAGTCTTGGATGTTTACTCTGATGTTTTTATTTGGAAACTCTGATAATAATGTTTTGAAATACTTTGACTCATGTTTTGATGAAATGGTTTGATAACTATGGTTTTATTTAATGGTTTAAAACAAAATTATTGGTCCTGAAGTTTTGGGATGTTACAGATGTTCTCATACTCCATGAATCCAAACTATGGGACCAAAAGATACCATTTTCTACCCTAAACCTAGATCTAAGCTTGTAATGATCAAGGTTCAAACTTTATACCTTCAATAGGCTAGAAATAGTGCCAAACTTCTGGATCTACAAGTTCCTTCCTCGTCCTTGCTTCTTCCCAAGCTTCCTTTTCCTTCAAAGTCACTAAAGTACACCATAAACACTTAAGAAAGCTCATAAATACACTCAAGGTGGCTTAGGGTTCGAGATTTGCACTACAAGAGAAATTGAGGCTAAAAAGGTAAGGGACTTGAGGGACTTAAGGTCCTTAAATAATTTGCAAACCCTAAAAATTAGGGTTTTCCACCGACTTGGTTATGACTAGCGTATGCATGGGTATTCCTAACGTATGTTGAGGATCCCTCGATGGTGCATGCAGCGAGTACGCCATGCGTACATTATGTACGCCCAACATACTCACCATCCTTCCACTACCTTAACTTGAATTGAAACTAGATTAAGTCAAAAACTTCATACATGGCAATTCGGATGCTACAATTCTCCCCCACTTAGATCAGACTTCGTCCTGGAAGTTCGTTGTCGGAAATAACTCTGGGTAATCGTCGGCTCCCACATCCATTTTAAGCCCTTGCGGTGCTGCCACTGCACCTTAACCAGCTTTAAAACCTTATTCCGCAAGGTTTTCGTCTTTCTATCGAGGATCGATACAGTTCTCTCAATGTAGTTTAGGCAGTCATCCACCTGAATGTCCTCCAATGGAACTACTGCGAAATCATTAGCCTAACATTTAAGCAGTTGCGAGACATGAAAGTACTATGAATCGGACCAAGTGTCACACCCCCGGTAGAGGCGGCGAAACATGTTGGGCTGTGCGACTAAGTTCATGGATCACAGATAAACTGAATATATAACACAAGTACAACAATAATTCCATGTTGGTCTTTGAATACATGGTTCTTACATGTAATAGTATAATATATGAATTGCCTTAAACAGGTAGGCGGGCATAACAAAAGGAGTAAAATAATTGCTTGATATCCCTAATTATCTGTCATCTGAATTTGCTTGATTACTGATTTACTGAGAATACATGTAGTTTTGAGGGTCAACACAAGATTAGTGAGGTTCACAGGTTTTCTGATGGCAATAGTAACGATACTTTTACAATCATTTCAGAAAGTATTTTCTTTATAAGTAAACCATATTAAGCTTTGAAAAATCCAAAAAGGTGTCTTGGTATAAATAAATTCATGCTTAAAATAGTTTTGAAAGAATCAAGTTTACGAGTTGTAGTGAGAGTAAGAGAGAGAGAGAGAGAGAGAGAGAGAGAGATTCGAGTTAATGTTTATAGTGAGTTCTATAACCGAGCTATATGACTTGAGTGTACCCTGCTACAACGCTTATTGGATGTTGTAGTAACGATTGTAGACACTTATCACCTACTTCGATTGATAAGTCGGCGTTGTATCTAGAAACCGCATGTGGGGATGTCAACCCTGTATAGATCTATACATATGTATCTCGCTCCGAAGATTAATGATTATAGTAGTGTGGGTATGGTAAGTGTTTACATCTAGCTAATGAATAACGTCTCACTATAAATCCCTTAACTAAAAAGTATGTGAATACCTCTCAACCCTAATTTAATTGTGGGTACATTATAGGCATAATGAATTTCATGACATCAAGTTTATAAAAATCGAGTATGTTTGGCACAATATATATATATATATATATATATATATATATATATATATATATATATATATATATATATATAGGTTCATGTTCATTTGAGACCATTCTAATTTTGTGAGACCGTAAGACCAAATCTAAAACTAATTTTAAAATGCAAAATAAATAGAAAAATCCAAAAATTCTTTTTTTAAATATTATTTTCGGAACTTGAATTAACTAAAAAAATATATAAAAAAATATAAAAAAAATAAAAAAAAATAAAAAAAATTCCGTTTTTTTTTTGAAAAATACGTGAAATATTCTAAATAGAATATTACACTGACATATTCTAAAAAATAATTTTAAAATGCAAAATAAATGGAAAAATCTAAAAATTCTTTTTTTAAATATTATTTTCGGAACTTGAATTAACTAAAAAAAAATAAAAAATAAATAAAAATAAATAAAAAAAATTCTATTTTTTTTGAAAAATACGTGAAATATTCTAAATAGAATATTACACTGTACATATTTTAAAAATAATTTTAAAATGCAAAATAAATGGAAAAATCAAAAAATTCTTTTTTTAAATATTATTTTCGGAACATGAATTAACTAAAAAAATTAAAAAAAATTAAAAAAAATTAAAAAATACGTCTCACGGTCTCACAAAATATAGGTGGTCTCAAATGAACCTAACCCTATATATATATATATATATATATATATATATATATATATATATATATATATATATATATATATAATATATATATATATATATATATATATATATATATATATATATATAAGGCTCTTATTTTATTTTATTTGTAAATAGCCCATAATATATATTTTTTTCTTTCTATTTTTTTGTTTTCGTAGTGATCATCTATAAAATTAAAAAGAAACAAAAAAAAGTGAGTAAACCATTACAACCTTACAATCTATTTGCTTCCTCTAAAAAACCTTCATTGTACCCACGATAGTTTATTTGTGAAAAAAACAAAACACGACGACCAAAAAAATACAGCGTCATAAATTATATTGTATTCATTGGTCCCCAACTCCCCCATGTTATTTTTACCGTTTGCAGAACAAAAACATAAAGAGAAAGTAACCGGTTACTTTGATCACAAACATGGCTCTAACGTTAGATGGAGTCGTATTATATTTGTTACGGTCCATCTAAACATCAGTTAGGATTTTCCATGTTACCTCAATTTTATATTATTTACAAAGCATAAGTTGCCATTCGTGTCGTATTCATTTTTTTCCTAAAGCTATTTAATATTAAATTTTAAAATTTCAAAAATATTATTTTAAAAAAATATAAAGATTCATTAAACTAGAAAATAAAATTAAAAAAAAAACAACATATAAATTAAAATGACAACACACATAAAAAAGCATAGAATTTGAAATTACAAAATAAAAATTTAAATAACAAAACCTAGATATTATATTTTTTTCACAATCTCCACTTTGGCTTTTATCACCAATTCTTTTTTGTATTCGGTAAGATTGCTAGTGTTCCTTGTTAAGATTGTCAAGGCAAATTTTTTTTATATATTTTTTTTTATTATCTTTTTCTCGAGCGACCACCAAGTATTGCTCAAAACGTCGACTTCAAGTTGTCCATTTACTTGTCGTCGATTTTCCATTTCGTTTCCCTTGGTTTCTTCCCATGGAACGAGTGACTCTTGGAACCTCAAAAGGCTCCTCTTCATTGAGATCAATCCCGACATGCGCATCAAACAATTGACTATGCGTTGTTTCATAAGTTTTGATTCTTTTAGAAGAACCACACATAAACGTTTCAGAAGTTCCAATGCCTTGCCATTTTTTGACATCGATATTCCTCACATGCAGAAATTTCAAATTCGTCCTTTTCCAGACTCCAATAAAGTGCAAGAGTTTTTTGCAAAATTGTTTTGTCAATTGCACCATTTTTTCATTGTCGTTTGACATACGAAACACCGTATTAAACTCCATCACAACTTTGTTGATGTTTCTCTACTTCGAGTAAATTTGTCACTTTTCCTGTAGTTTCCACGCTTCATTTCCGTAAGAAATGCCTAGGAATTTTCCGGAAAAAAATACGACAATCTTGATTCTTTCTGACCACCGGATCTTCAGAAACATTACCCACGCACGAGCCAATGCCGTTTTTTCCTCTATAGTTCATTGTCTTGGAGCTGCCTTTCCACTTTTCTTGGGTTGTGGTCAAATTTCTTATGGCTTCGAATCTGTTTCGGTGAGGACTTCAAGGTGTGTTTAAGTTTGGAATTGGGTTTGGGTATTGATTGTGGAGTCAGGAAGATGGTCATATAGGTTGAAGTCATTCCCCATTTGATATTGGAGTTTAGATGAAAAGTTCATTTAATGTTGGTTTGGAATTGTTGTTGGTTTTAGAATTGACGTTGATTTCAAAATTGTGATTGGTTTTGGAATTGAGGTTGGTTTTGAACATGATATGGGTAGTAAACACCA